ACTCCGGTTCACGGTTCGGAAAAACAAGCCGGTTCGTTCCGGTTTTTGTTCCGGTTCGGGTTCGGTTCAAACCCTTGTTTATAATAATACATATAAAAATTCGTCAAAAATTAGAAAAAAATATCAGCAATTCTTTTTAATTTTTTTTTTCAATACGTCAGCCAATTATCGTTATCAGAAATCATCTTTAGTTCCGGAACGCGTTCCTGTCCAAAAAGGAAGTACCGGAACGACGTTCCGGAGCGTTCCGGCTCGACAACACCACTGCTTGTATTAGATCAATATGAAAATCAAGATTAATTATGAAAAAGTCTAGAAACTTATCTTATTCAAGGTTTTAAATAGGCGTCTCTGTACATTCATCCAACAAACGAAGTCTTAGACCTTAGACCTTCTTCTGCTGAACACATTTAATCATTCTCTGACCCATGGAGAGTCTCCTGATTATTGGAACTTTATTTCTGACTTTCTTTATCCACGGTACCCTCATTATTCGCCTGTAAAACCACATTTTGAACGCTTCTAACATTTTTTCCGTCGCGCCCACCGTCCTCCAAACATACACCTTTAACAATCTTTTTCGAATTTCTAAATAAACCGTTCGCGAGCATAGAACTGACTTCTTTTTATTGAAGGCAACTCGACCTTGCGCTACCCTCTGCTTAATATCCCTACTACTTCTTCCGATCTGACTTATCTGACTTCTTAGATACCTAAAATTAGCCACTTCTGTATCTGCATAAACCGCTTTTGCGTCTTCATCACTGTAATCATAATAATGTAGGCATGTACGTCTGCACTAATACGATTTTTACCGGCTTTGAGTTTAATTTATTCATTACTATCCTATCACTGTTTTGTAAATAACTTTCTACACTCTGCCCTGCTTTCCTACTCTTTACAATTCCTATCCCCGAATTACCTTTCACTGATCCTGTATGTATTATTCTAAAGTATCCACTCCAGAAGTCTCCAGCTTCAGACCAACTGACTGTCTACTATATCTAATTCTAATTCTTTCTTCTCAACTTTCAAATAGACTAAAATGATAATGTTAATGGTTGGCAGATATAAAACGAAGCCATAAAATGTTACAATAAATAAAATTATAATTAGATAATAACAAATAAACCACTTTTATCTCTCTAGAATTTCACAAATGAATTACCTCAGGGTATTCAACCACATCACATACCTCATTGGTTGACTTTCTCCATAATATCTGTGTTCAGTATCAAACATATATCCTCCATTTTCACATGCTATGTCGTATACGGCTCCGGTCATTAGATCTGCGGTTGATATGGTCCATTCGCCTCCAAGAGTTATGACCATTGGACCACCTCTCTTAAAGCATTCGTCGTTGTGTATATATCTCTACGGAAAAAGAATATTAAATAAAAATTCAGGTCAGTGTAACATATTTATGTATTGAATGTAATGCTTAGGTAGCTTACATGGGATCTATCTCATTAAAAATAAAGTCGTACAGCGATAGATCTGACGATCGATAAAGGTTAACGGTCGAAGGTTATTTCCTAGGCCTCTTTGACTATGTTAGGTTACAGGTAAATGTAAATAAGCACATAAAGGATAAATATTCGATGATTGAATAATGTCGATGTGTTGCGATCTGAGTTTGTTATATTTTGTTACAGGGATTTGTAATACATCGTCAGTTTCTGAGAAGGAAATTTGATTGCCAATATGACTTACCACGGTAGGATGACGCCTCTTGTTAGCTATAAATTAATAGCGAAATAATCGACCGAACATATTAGAAATTTTAATCACTGTTACGCGAGGCACATTAAATACATTCCGACTACACTAAATTTTTATAAAAATGCGGAGTGGCTAACTACAGTCCGGAACATTATTCTGAGAAAAACTTAAACTGATTTGTGAAAAATACTTTTTCGGCACCTATTAAATTTGGTCCTAACAAAATTTTATGAAAATTTGGAAAGACATTAGTTTGGTGATGCTTCCGGCACATAAACAGCGCCACAAAGAGAGACAGACAATTCAAACAAGACTTTCTTCTTTCTCGTAAAAAATTGCTAGAAAAATTTATGCTTTATTTGTATTCGAAATATGAACTATACATAGTTACAGCAAACATGAAAAAGATAAAATAATGAAAAAAGTATAAAATTTATGTAAGTGAAACTTTCATTACATCATCTCCAATTTTTTTCATCGCATGTCGCATTACAACCGGTCGCGGAGTAGGGGTAAAACTGAAAGGCACTCGGCAGAGCAGCCAACGCCAACATGGTGGCGCCCATGGCTCGTATGAGCCAACCGTGTAGCATTTATATTCTCACTCATTCGTGCAAGTGCACGACAATTACATTTATAGACTCTGAAACTCAAAGCGAAGATGAAATTATTGATAGAATAACTGAAGTTCAAAATGATTCAATGATTTAAATAAATATTGTTCTCAGTTTTTAACATCATCTGAATGGTTGTATTTATTATGTATTCCGTACTCTCATACGCAGATTGAAATTAAAATTTATAGTTGGGTATCTTGTCTATTATTGATTTCCCTTTATCACTCCCATTTTCCAATCATTAAGATAAGATCAGGAACGCGATTTTAATTTTAATATCCTAAATTGAATAATTTTCCGAAAATTTACAGCATGCCATAGAGACAGATATAGCAACGAGCGATACCTGTCTCTCTTCTTCCGTAACCAAATCCCTTCCGTAACCAAGCCTTCTGGTTATGGTTATGGAGAAAGAGAACAGGTATCGTTCGACATTATACCTTTGAGAGGCAGGTATAGTCTCTTTTGGGTCACAAGGGAAATGAACGATTGTATAGTAGAAAATACTACAAATGGCGTGGTGAGCGCCATCTGTAGTACGATGCTACATTTGAGGATTACATATGTTCCAACAAGGTCCATTTAAAATATGGATATCTACTTGTTGAAATGAATCCCGGCGTAGCTCACCTCAACGTGATAGGCACGTTACCATAATCGAAGTCGGAGCTGCCTGCGACGCGCTGATGAGATCCAAAAAGATCGAAATCGCGATCCGCGTCTGGCAGTTTCGACAGAATACAGACCACTTCGAATTATTTTGTTCGATTGTATAGTAGATTTATAAACCTTTCTTACTTGCTCTTGTAGGAGCACCTAGGAGCGCTAGGAGCGAACTTTGACTGACTCTGCTGTAAGGCCACAGCATAAAGATTCCATGCAGTAGCTTCACTAAAAAAACTTTTTTGGTGTTTTATTCCCACCAGCCAGTAATTCTGGTGGGCGGGACTACGCCGGAAGGCCCTCTTCAGCCTGCTTTCAGGAATCGTGGGAATGGGTGGATGGTGGTTCGGATGAGAAAGATGAGATGGACGAAATGAAGGCAGTAGGTAATGAAAGAGTATTTGTGGAATATTACTGCCCCAGCATTTGCCTAAGTGATCCAAGGAAACCACAGAAAAACTTGGACAAAGACAGACGGGCCCGTAATCGAACCGGTGTCCTCCCGAATGCTAAGTAATGGTGGTAACCTCTAGGCCATGCCGCTCGGTAGCAGCTTCATTCCTTTCATCTGCCTTAAATACGTGTTCAGATACAAAATGTATTTGTACTGTGGATTTACAATGACAATGACCTCCGTGCAAGCCAGTCCCTGCTTAGCGTCGTCAGGAGAGGGATGTACGGGCGTGGCGAGCGTGGTAGGGAAGTGAACTTACTGTGTAGAATCTTTACAATACACTGTGGTAAGGCCAAGCTCTCAAACATAACATGCTAAAGAATTTTGATAACAATTAGGTATTATTAAATAATAGTAAATGTGCCAATAGGTACTACATTCAATTATGTATGTAAATTATAAACAATACGCGTGTAACTGTAGTAAGAGTTTTATATGGTTTTTAAAGTTTGTGCTCAATAAATATTTTAAACGACTGTTGTGTTTGTCGAAAACTGACGATTCAAAATTTTGTTGGGGTGCAAACAATCCTAAGCATTAGAGGGCATTAACAACACCTTTTGACTTTAAGCAATGTATGGGTTTGAAATAGAGAATTTTGAAAACAATTGCGTGTGGGTAACTACTATATTATTATATTGCTTATGCACCCGCCTGTTTGTTATTTTTAAAAATAATTTCCCGAGGATAGGGTTTTCAAGAGCTTCAGTGTATGCTGTCGTCTGTTTATTAGTTTAATGTTAATTCTAGAGTAGCTACTTATAGTGTTATCGAGTGATTGAAAGTTTGAGATTATTAGAAACTATCTCCATCAGTTTATTGACATACACGTGCAAAAGTACTTGATTTCAGAAGTATGGAAATTCATAGTTAGATCGTAGTAAGCTCTGGATTCTGCCATAGCTACTATAGGCGTAATGATGTCCTTGGGTAAGTAATTAGATAATAAGTACCCATCTATTCTCTATTTTTAAGCCCATCACATTAATTACTTATAACAGATAATTTTAACATTTACATATTTCAAGTTCATGTCTTTAGCTATTTCTGAAATAATTCACAGCCTTCAACTTAATTTACAGGTAACAAAAGCCTGACATGCTCCTACTCAAAAAAACAAAATGTAACTTTGAATAAGATGGTCAAATACCTGTATATTCAATTGTTTATTATTTGTTTGTTCATTTGTTATTTATGTATTGCCTTAGTATTGAACCATCAAAAATTCAGTAAATATCGTTTCAGTTATTATTATTAATAGGTACAATTGAGATTATAAATTATACTTTCGTACTTACCATTGACCATGTTCTTTTATCCGCATGATTGAAATGATCAACCATTTGAGTTATATTAGCCCACACGGGTGAACTAGCTCTACCGATGGGAACATCTGTTGGGGGAGGTCCATGTCGTCTTCGAAATATTTGACCCTAAGGATGTTAAATTTAGTTTTATTAACATTATATTAGAATAAAACTTATTACTATTTACCTCCGCAGCAATAATACACAGTAGTAGAAAAAAAACAGATAATGTTGTCATTTTAACAAAATTTCAGCGAATGTTGTAAGTACCTTTCAATGAGTGATGAAAAAGCCAAAAGAAATGAAATATAAAATAAAATTAATGATAAGATTATTTTTCATTATTAAATAGATAGGAGCATAGAGTGAGCCACATGTTCCGCCCGAGTGTATAGTTGATTGTAACAGGGGGAGGGGGGGAGAAAATTCTGAAAAATACGGTAAAATTTCTGCGTAAGTTTTAATCATGTACCAACAATGTCTGCCGGGCCGCATTTTATACGCCACACGTGATCGCCAACCGCCGAATGTCTAAAAATACATGTGATAAAAACTTTTTACCGAAACAACTGAAAAGCAAAAAATAATAAACATTTTTTTTATTAACCTTAATAACTAAATTATAATTAAATGTATATGTATCTAAGTAATTTTGATAAGTAATAACCAAATCAGATTAACAATGCAATGGTTATTAAGGTTAAAAAAATAATGTTTATAATTTTTTATTTTCAGTTTTTTCGGCGGTTCAATTTTTTTGTTAAAATGTTTCTATTTTATAATTTTTTTGGCTATAATCTACTAATTACTACTACTACTAACACTATTATTTTCCTACTGTAAATCATCCCCTGTTTTCCTACCATCAGGGTTAGATTTTTTTTCCCAACTTCGGGGTATACCCTTTCCAATAAAAAAGAATTTTCAAAATCGGATTACTTATTCTGTCAAAAGTTATGCGTAGTCAAACATTACAATCAGTGAGTAAACAACAATCAACAATCATTCTCTGTTTTTCTACCCTTAAGGTTGAAATTTGTTTGATTTGCCAGTACAACTGTGTCAAAAAAAAATGCTAACGGGAAAACGGCTAAAGAAAAACAAAAAATAAAGAAAAGTTTATAGAACATGTAAATTATGTTATACGATTTGCGTAACATAAAGTTTGCAACTTTTGGGTAAAAATGGTCACTTGAGTGTTACGTAGCGTTTAGAGAGGGAGAAGGGTGGTACAGAAAAATCAAAGGGTCAAAAATCTTCAAAAATTGTGTTACGTTATATTTGAACGGTCCCAAAGGGGCGCATGACCTCTGCATTAAAGTGTCACCTAAAATTATTACACTTCCGCTTTTGCTTCCGCAAAAATTTATTATTTACTTCTGTTTCCGTATCTAGTACCGTTATAACACTTCCGTTGCATCATAACCTCTTGGTTGGTGTTGCTGCGTGGTAGAGTACTGGTGCGTAAAACCAGGTGGTCCGAGTTCTATTCCTGGCAAGGTAGTGACAGAAGCAACAATTTCTCCTTATTAATTTGAGGTTATCTGTAGTGGATAAAATTAATTCAAAATTGAATTAACCCTATAAAAATTCAAAGTATCTCATTGAAAATACTGTTTGGATAAAATAATTCGAAGTGGTCTGTATTCTGTCGAAACTGCCAGACGCGGATCGCGATTTCGATCTTTTTGGATCTCATCAGCGCGTCGCANTAGACCGTTGAATTGACTTCGTATTTATATTCGCCATAAATTAGTATCGCGTCACAAAGTTCTGCCGTGTTAAATGCCTTTCTAACAATTACTGTTCTATACTGACCTATGACAGTGACACACTGACCTACTGTCAATGTTTGAGTACATGTTCGCAAGAGTAAAACTATTATAGGCTGGTTGTAACTTAAATATTGTCAGTCACACTTTAATCTAATCCAGCAAATAACAAATAATGCATGAGTACAAAAATACAGAAGAAATTCAACACGGTTGCTGCGAATTACCAGCTAATTGAATATGACGTTGCGTTGCATTGTTGTATTCCCTTGCGTGATACTACCAGGGCCGGACTGCTCATTGACTATACATTCAAATACGTTTTTCTCGAAAACGGTTAACTTTCGTGCCACCAAGTACTAAATTTAATCGAGTGCCGTATCACCTCTTAGAACAAACTGCGAGCCGTTGACTCCCTACTCGCGAAGATAGGAACGCGGCGGTGGCGATGCAGTATATAAGAATAATAAAATCGCGGGTTCGCATGTCGTTGTGGACACTTCTTTTTTTTGTTCGTTTTTACTTAATATTTACGTTTAACCCAGTTTTGAAAGTCACATTTCAAAAAATCCGCCAACTAAAAAACATTATTTATTACTTTTGTTTAATTTTGCTTGGGGCGTCGTCATTAGTTTTATCGATTCGCGCTAAAGGTGTAGTAAAGTGAAGGTAAGTATTTGTGATTTATAATTTAGAAGTTTAAATTTATTTACAATCAACATACGCGAAACAATTGCCGGAATTTTATTGCAGACATTCTAATGACACGTTATAACTAGGGTTGCCACCTTTTCAGGTTTTACATAAAGTATTTCTTGACCAAAAGGTTAAAAAAAAAGTACTCAGCATAAAAATAAAGTACAGGTCTGACGAAGGAAGCTGGCGAACGGTCGGGCAGGTACTTGCCCATTTATGACCTATTTAGGTAAGTCACTTGGAACCGATACACAAATAAGCTTTCAGTAGGTGTAAATTATAGTATTAATACAGATAGGACAGTAGCGTACTAGAAAATAATGTAAAAACATGACTTATCAAAAAGAAAAAATTAACCTATTGCTTTTGTTTTATAGTTAGTTTTCACATTCACT